AATATCTTCAAATTTACCAGTTTTGTTCCTTTCCAGTATAAACGTCCCCTAGTGAAATGTTTATTTTCAAGGGCCCGTAAAATATGTACGAGCGACACATTGATGATAGATGAGCTTCGACACATACACTCAGTTTTATTAGCTAATGGTTATCCAGAACACTTTATCAATTGTTACAGTAAGGTATAGACCACATCTTGAAAAGACAGCTTCTGTACCAAAGAAAGTTATCTTTATTAACCTACCATTCAAGGGTGATCAAATTATGCAGCCGACAGCTCAAAGACTTCGGTCAGCCATCAAGTGCTGCATCTCTTTCCCTCACATCTCGAACATTTTCGATCTCTGTACCTACGATTAAAGGACGAAATTCTCTGGACTCTACTTCAAACTGTATTAACAAATTCACCTGCAGTTGCGGTGACACCTATATAGGTAGATTCCATAGAATGTTCCAGTTTGGTCGTCGAAAAGAACATGTTCTAAAATGGTTATTAAAACATATAGAAATTCCCAATGCAACTAATCTGAATAGAAATCCATTATCATCCATTGCAAAGCACTTATTAATGGCAGGTCACAAAATCAATATAAATGACTGCTTCACGATTATTTCATCCATAACTCTAATTCAAGGTTATTAAAGGTGATGGAAGCACTCTAGACTAATCAAATACATCGTAAACTATGTGTACAAGAATCAATATACTTCAACCTTCGCCTACCATGGACTACTTGATCTATTTAACTATGGTTGGTCATTAGTATGTACTTTTGTTTTTTATTTAACTGAGTAATTGTCATGCATTTTATTTTATCTTATTATTGTGAACCATGTTAGTTTTAAAGCGATTGGAAAGAAACTACGAAGTGATGATGTCATCTCACGAAATTTGTCTTCTAAATGCCTTATTCAAACTAATCTATATTTAACTATCATTGAATGAACACATATGGGCTTCAAGCTTGAGCATTAAAGTTTCAATATCGTTGGCGTTCTGGTTTTTGTTTATTTCACGAGGTGGGGTTGGTTGGTAGCATCACGCTCAACCTTCCCTCTTTACCAGGTCTACAACTGGTTAGACGATGTTTAGTAGTGTATCTGCTAGGAGTCGAACCCGGACGACATGCAGAGTGAATGGTTAGAATCCTACCACTCAACCACCAATGACGTTCATTGAATCGATGGTTAACGGTACACCTCATTGTTTTGAAATTATGTGAATGAAATTATCATTGTAACCACTGAGTTGAAAAATTATTACACATCAGCACATGCGATTCATTCGTGTTAAGTGTTGGATAATAGAAAAAGTGAGACGAAATATCACTCATCAACTACCGCTTACACCCGCATGTCATTAGCAATGAGACATGCTTATTGTATGACAACTGGTGATACTACGTCGACTGTATAAAAATCTCGATACATATATATATGAAGTAGTAGTAGAACCCATGACTCAGTGGTTGGAAGTCAAGCACATCTAGAACGACGAGAAAACAATTCCATACTTAAAAATTGACTATCTTACCAAGTACTGTTCACTAAGCGTTTTATGAGCACATAAGCGTAAGCAAGTTGATGAAAAACGGGTCTATGCCAGTATATCCTGACTACAAACAACCAGGCTAATTATAAAATATTAGCCGAAAGGTTAATCAACTTCCTAAAAATAAGTTATGTAACCTTGTTTTAAAACACCACACTCTTTGAATTGACGTTAGGCGGTCCAAAAGGAATTGTTGGGAAGCCCTGAACCCAGGTTTCAAAGCTTACTGGGTTTCGATCCAGAGGAACTTATGTCTTCTAGGAGATTTGAACCCACTTCATCCAGTGGGACAGTAAAAGACGATACCACTGAGTTAGTCGGGGTTTCCTTTTTTTATTGCCTTCAAATACTTTACTTCAGACAGTTGATAAACTGAAATATTGAACTGTCGTTAGTTGTGAAAAGGATTGTTTTCTTTCCTCTATACGATGAGTGTTTTTCACTTATTTCGATGTAATTCATAGTTAAAAAGGTAAAAACTGAAGATAATGCTTAGTACACTAGTGACACAACAAGTGGTTAATGTGTTCACATCTGAATTCAGTTTTTCCCTTTTGACATTAGTGATAGTTAGTCGAGTTAGAGTCAAATGATACACAAATTTATAAATGACAGATATGAAGTCTTATCTTCTAACTTTAATAATCTAATATTGACAGGCATTATGTGAACAAGTGAACGAACATACAAACTAATAGACAGTAACGTTTTCAAATGTTACTTTGTGAAGATTTGATTGGTTTTGAGGTCCCATCACGTATTGAAAACCTGAGAGCACTCAACAGTTGTTTTATCTTATTTTGAGGGCACTTTTCAGCAGTACACACCCATCACCCGACCCACGCACAATCGAACCCAGTACTTTCAGGTTACTAGGCGAGCTTGTTGACTATTCGGTCACTGGGACGGAACCCAGTGGCCAATCCATGGATTCGATCTTCTATCAATTCGCGAGTATTCGCGCCACTACCAATCAATATCATGATAGAAGTTAGAATTCACGAGTTGGCTATCGGATTCTGTCCTAGGGGCTAAAAGGTGTTCAGTGAGCTTGCCTTGTCCCTTGAAAGCCCTGATTTCGATCCTGGTTGAGTCGTTGGCGAGAATTATTGGAGGGTCCAAGACAAGAACAAATCAGTACTGTTCAGTATTTCTTGCTTTTCAATAGTTTTTTAACTGATATCCCTCCATAATCGAACTTGTAACCAAACAGTATATTATATTATTATTCCTTTATGGTACAAGTATGGAATTTTCAGCATGTGATATCGGTAGCCCAAATTTTGCAGGCCAACCATTGATATCAGGTGTGCGTCGGCAGGGGGTCAAATCCCGGACCATGTGCATGGTCGGCGAGAGTCCTAACTGCTGTGCCACCGACGCAGTGTCTCCTTTAGTTCCTAGAGGAACAAAGGGCTTCAGTCGAATATCTCCATTGCGTTCAGTTCTCTGCCAACGTTTTCACCTGGTTCCATGTTTGCCCATATGCTTTCATCTCCTCTTCGCATGACCTCCTCCATGTCACCCTCGCACTGACGACCAACTCGCCGCTTCCCATTCGGGTTCCACTCGAGCGATAGCCTGGTGTGTGATGTCACTTGATGGTTTTCTCAGTAATGTGCCTAATTAATTGCTGCATTTTTTAAGCTGACTTTCAACGATAATCAACAAATGGTAGATTGATATTGCTTTTAAGAAAAACATTTGAAAGCTTTATATTATGCTATTTAATATTGAATGCACATATTGCAAGGTAGTTTTTATAATTGAACAGGGAACGGAAATCTGTGTCTTGGAAGGACTCGAAGTAGTAATGACTTCCAAACTGCCAGCCAAGCTAAATAACCTAACTACTAATTCCGTTTTCATTTCACTACAGTCATCATGGGTAATGCCCAGTTGTTGTGTGGCGTATGCTACTGATAAGATTTATCAGTAGTATGTATAAAGAGGTGTTCACCGGCAGAAAAACTTCAAATAGCAGAGAGATAGATAGATTTGATATCAGAGAAAGCAAATGATACAGCGTTGTGGAGATACATGAGAGACGTGAATGGAACACAAGGAAACACAATATGAAGGAAGGCCAGAAGTAGCACAACACGGAAGATCTACAAAGACATGCCAAATTGCCAATATAACATTTCTTCACCATGCCTTTTGGCTCCTACTGTTTCAATAGTATGAATGATTGATACGATATAAACCATTTGTTACCACACTAGCTACCCAGTTAGATCTTCCTTTACCTGTCAGTCCTATTCATATTGAATAAGTTGAAGAGAAGCAGTTTGTTAATCCACAGTGAGACTAAATGAGATGGTTTTCAGTGTGCAGACTTTTGTCGACATTTTATTTCATTGCTTGTCTTCTGAGTGGAAGATAAGTCTTCGAGATGTTGTAGTTTCAATAACATTGGAGCTGATTTACGTGGTAGAAGAGATTGCTAACCTCATAGGGTGACAAGCTCTGTAGGCTAAAAGACCCGGTGGACCCAATAAAACAAAATAATATAATTTAAAAATTACCTTGCACTGACTGTGAGGTCAACTATATAGGTCATACTAGTAGATCGGGGGTAATCAGATTGGCGGAACATAAGAATTTGGCTAAGGTAAGAATGGTTAACCCCGAGAAGATAAGTAATTTAGAAAAAAGCTCAGCAGCTGCATTGCATACATGCATTAACACACAACCACACAATAGGGTGGGAGAGGGTTAAGATTCTAAGAAGTAATCTATGTAGGTGGAGAGAGAGAGATTGATTACTTAATCCTGGTTCATTGAATCTACACCCAACACATGCAACAGAAATGACTCAATGCAAATACGAGAAATATGAAGGATATTATTACCGTCAGTCAAATCAGAAGAGGATAATAAATAATCTCAAAATTCTATTTCAATTCAAGCACATCACAATATCCTAACAATTAACTTATTATGACTGTAAAAACACTCGTCGTATTTCCCATCTGATTGTAATTGATCAATAACACTCATATTATTATTTCTGAATGTACATTATCACATATTGATTTTTATTTAAATATCTAGTCAATTCCACACATGTATATAAATGAAGGAAAAAGTTGTGTGAGTAACTTGATATGATTATGAGCAATAATTTGTGCTCGAAACGTCATCAGTTAATATTACTGTGTAACACTGTGTGACTTATCAAAATAAAATCTTATCCATAATGGAGTTACACTCTACCACAGTGCCCAAGTTTTATACTTATATCAATAACTCATACGGTGAATCTTCCCTCTTTTCATAGCTAGTAAATATGGTGAGGTATAGAAGTGAGTCAACTGGGAATCGACCTCAAACCTCCCACGCGTGGCTAGTGAAACAGAAATCTGACTACCAACTAAATTATCATATATTACACTTTAACAGTGGTACAAATATATACATACTAAAAAAAAAATATTATCTTACCTCTGTTAAATGACATTGAAAATGTTCATGATCAATAGATCTTGGTAGATCAACAGATCGATGAAATTCACGTACAGTTGTTGTATTACCTGATTTAATTGATTTTTTAGCATGAACACGTAAATGATTGTCAACTGTAGTCACTTCAATATCTTCTGGAGCAAAATCTTTTGCATCAAATCGTACTTTGAAATGTACCTTTGAAAATAAAAAAAGATCAAAATCAATAAATAAATAAAATAAAACAAAGCAATACAACTAAACATGAGTTCATTTAGTAACGCGCTGAAGACATAATTCGATGAACGAAACAATAAGAAATGGCATTATACTGTGTTAAGCATGCCAAGCAACTGGCTTCTTCGACGATCAATGTTATTTAACACAAGATTAGGATGAAAACATGTGACAGATAATCAAACCAAAAGATGACATCAATCCATGACATCTTTGACTGTTGATGTGAACCAGCCAAATAGAGAGACGTTAACTTTCTGATGGTTGGAGTTCTTGAAAGGCTATAAGTCTATGATTTGAGACTATTGGTGATATGAATTTAATTGGTGGATGGTGACTGACTAGCAGTGGAATCCAGGATAACGAGCATTTCGTCCTATTTGGGACTCGTCACTGGATGTACATGCACTCCCTGGTGAGTGATGATGTTCCCACCGAGGCTGGAACCCAGTGCCCATAGTTTCAAACGCCAAAGGTTATCCACTAGACCCTGGGCCATGAGAGCGCATCCTGGATTCCACTGCTAGTCAGTCACCATCCACCAATTAAATTCTAATAACATGCCCAGATATCGTTGAAGCATCTGCACAAGAAGCCGACATGTCAACCTGAGACCGAGCACTTCGGTCCAATCAATCGACGGGAAAATCTAAAATTCAATTAATTCAATTAGTGATATGGCTTAAAATCGTTGTCAACTGCACAGATGCATTCACTCTTTTGTGACCTCCCCCTTATCCACTAATATTTTAATATTCTTTCTTTAAGAAACTCCTGCTCATTAAAGTTCTTCTGAATATTCTGTGAAAAGTTCCACGTTGAAACTTAGTCACTCAGTCAGTGTATTCATAGAACACGTAAATCTTATCCCACATGTATAACCTGTACAAAATAACAGCTGTTGTAGTCTATGATTTCGAAGTACTCTTTCAATCATCTATGAAATTTTCAAAGGGTTAGTTTGTACAGATTTTATTGGTTTCACAGAAAGAGCCATTGAAAACCAAGGAGTAATGGACAGTACTATCTCATCCTAATTTAGAACTCTTCAGCAGTACGCACCCATGACCCTATCGAGGAAAGAACCTGTGATATTCCTCAAGTTAACAGGACGAAATCCAGTGGCCCATGGATTCTAAGTTCGACTCCCAGTGTATGCGATTGAAACAACTTTGAAGTACTCCTTGCTGATTTTCAATGAATCTCTAACTGATAACAGTCTATGATTAAACTTAAATTTTTGTTATGGTGTAGTGATTTATTTAAAAAAAATCTATTTACATTCTCAAAAGTAGGTTTTCTTGTTTATGAATATATGCAGCCTTTGTTTAAACAAGTGCAGAGACACCTGATACGATACTCTAACAGAACTGTTCTCACTATATATCCTCAATACAGTTTATTTTTGATGATCACCATGACATCAAACGGTACCAAATACGGTCTCATATTTATGATAAAATGTTTTACAAAAATACATTCTATCTCACCAGACACATTTTTTTCTGGAAGATTCGCTTTAGTTAGTAGTCAACTGTGACTAACAACTGACTAAGCACCACCACCAACACCACCAACAAGACGTACATTGTCTGGTTTGAAATGTGAAACTTTGCATTTTTATGATTCAGTCATTAATTAATACATACATACTAGTGTTGTTCAATGAATGAATGTCAACCGAAGGATGGATGAGTCATCCTGTAGTTGTGTTGTGTTTTCACTTACTTACACCACGTCGGGATATTTCATGCATATACTTTCATTGCATTCTATTTTCTAATTTTTTTTGTCTCTCTTTATCGCTTAAAATATCCGCGTTATTTTTACGTCGGTATATTTATATATATGATAAATAAAGCTTTTGTCACAGAGATACGCACATATATATATGCATGACACGCATACACAGAAATCTTTTTTGTTGAAATGGATTGAATAATTTATTTTCAGAATGATAGTAACTTGGCAACGGACGGAGAAAAATGCAGTAGATTGAGTATATATATAGACGTGATGACTAAGCATTAGTCCATAAAAAGAGACAAAAAGATTACTTTTAAATATTTTTGTTATATTTTAAGGTATTTAGATGATAATAATTATAATAATAAAAGGTAGCAGATCTGTAGGCGAAAACCAACAGAATTTCAGATAGAATATAGAGAAGACAGAGGTGATAAAGACACGCGTCAGACTGTGGGGAGTTAGAAGACAGGAATACGTTGGACCAATCTGTATTTTGCGCGTGGATGGTTTGTGTTTAATGTCACACAAACTCGAACACTAGCAGGCGAAAACCAACAAACTGGTTGAAGAGGCTGGCAGGCAGTGAAGACAGGACTCCAGGTGAACAAACAGAAGATGGAGGCGATGGAGATAACCAACCACCACCACCAACAACAACAACAACCAGCACCAATCACCATCAACGGGAGGGATTCGAATGAGGTTACTTCCTTCACTTATCTCACAAGGAAGCATGGTTCCAACCACAAGTAGTTGGAACGGATGAAATCGTCAAAGCTGGCCAGCCAGAATCCGAAAAGGCGATATGCGCCTTCATCAACCTGAAACCTGTTTTGTAAATCATCTTCAATTAGCAAGTATAAATAACAAGATTTGGATTTTTAACACAAATACCAGTGAAGTCAGTCGGTCACTTCTTATATACGGCTCAGAAACTTGACCAGCGCGTCGTGGAAAGCATTTCCAACAGTTGGCTGCAAATTTTTATCAACAGCTGCCAGTTTCACTGGCTGGCTACACACTGAAGATCAAATAGACGACCAACCGGTCAGGAAGAATTAGTAACAAGGAACTCTGGCTGGTTGGTAACCAGTCAACGGAGAGCCGACCGCTCAACAAATATGTAGGAGAAAATGGAGATTGGCCGGGCATAACGTTGAGGAGGCCATCGAATGACATCGTGCACAATGCAGGCCATCGCTCCAGTGGAATCCCAATGGGGAGTGTGACGAATGGGTCGTCGGTGTGAGGGTGACATGAAGGAAATCATGTGTTAGGGAGGAGGAGATGAGAGATTATGAGCAATCGTGTGGTTAGCTAGCTAAAGAGAATAGCAGAAGATTGAACAAAGTGAAGGTGTGTTGCTGAAACCCTATGTTCCACTCGGAACCCAAGGGAATAATAATAAAATATAGTAAGCAGGGTATTGTACTCAATAAGTGTAACCAACTTTTCGAATGGTTTCTCAAAAAAGTCAAACATTATAATAATCTGAACTAGTACTATAGTTCACATATGATGTAATCCCTGAAAATCACATTCTAACATATACAAATGGATACTTCTGTGCAGGGCTTGTCTCACTCTCCACAAAATACTTCCATTCATTCATTAATACTATAGTTTCGTATACAACTTAGTTTGTTATGCAGAATGGCAGTAAACTGTATACGCCATCATTCTCAGACCAATTCACATTCCGAAATACACGTCTAAACTGGCTTTAGCATTAAGAAAATTATATAGTACTATCTATTACTTACTACTACTATTCGGACCTAGGTGCTTCGGTGACATAGCTGTAGAATGCTAGCTAACCATGCAGGTGGTGCTGGGTTCGATCCCCGGCCACCGACGCACTCCTTTACTTTATTAGGCCAGTAATAAGGCTGTTAAAGAGGGAAGGTTGGTTGGGCATGAGGCTAGTAACCCCATGCTGTAAAATTAAATACCACTGCTACCAAAACTTCAAGCCTCTAGCTTGAAGCCCTATGCTACACTGGGAGAGTAAAGGAATAAAATAAATAATACTGATTCGAACCTATCCTACTGACAGGATTTTGTAAGTAGTATACTGTATGTCCAGTCTCTTCTGCAAGAATATTGAATATCGGTGCAATGGACTAGGTTTCAAAGAAAAGGATGATAAAAGAAGCATAATATGAAGAATATGTGCAAATGGAGACCTGATATGGTGGTCAGTGCCCAGTTTGGAAATAAACCAATCAGAATTCGGCCCACAGAAGTAATCAATATCCAGTCTAGAAATATAAACCATTCAGATTTGGCCAACGTTAAATGACGCCCACTATTTCATTGATTATGAATCATAAATTACTACGTAAGATATACTTTGCGACTCACGTTGTTGTGTATTCTCGTTTAAGTAGTGCCTGGGGGCTGGGGAAACAGGTGGATGTCGTATAGTGTTTTTGGTGTAGCCAAGCGACAGTCGTGATCAGCGTGTCTCTGTCCTTATTTCAGTCTCTGATAAACAAACTAATATGGAATTACTTAATACCACAGTGCCCAAGTTTTACACACATATTAAAACCTTTATCTACTGGACCATGTTTTTTTAAATTACCCCCCTTATGACTGCTGAACCCTATTGATTGTTAACTCGTTTAACTTATCAATGAAACTAGTGTCTCTTATGGTCATTTAAAACCTACACATATGGGGAGCTGTTGTCAAGCCTTTCCGCCAATGATTCGAGACAGTAAAAGCCCTATTGTCAACTATGTATCTTCTTTCTTTCTTTCTTTCTTGATTCGTGTGTCCGAAGTTTCGTCTCGTGATGGTTGTCGTTGCGAAAAGTGAGTAAAACAGTAGGCTAGCATATCTACTAGGTAAAAAAAGTTTTTGCTAGTGTAAGAGACTCATAAACTACCAGGCTGTATTGACGGTTATAGCATAATCTTTAAAATATTTCTGAAGTTTCCTGCCCCGAAACCCCTTGCCATTTCAAAAATGAAAGCGGGAGATACAGTCAGTCTTTTGAAAGAAAAAAAGAAATACCCAGTCAGAATAAAAAAACTGACTATGATTTAAAACTGCTGTTTTTACGGAAGCTGATAGTAATTACGCCATTAAATGTCAAATGTTTTAATCTGATTAACCTTGTCTATTCGCCTGTCTACTTCTGTCTGGATCAATGACTGTCTGTCTGTCTATCTATCTATCTATGTGTATGTATGTATGAGTGTGTA